TGTGACTGAAATTTTAGTCACTAAATCAGTCACTAAATATAAAAAGGGAAATCAGTCACTGATTCAGTTACTATCAGTGACTGAATTTTTCAGTCACTAATTTCGGTCACTATTTGGTGTTTTTCTTGTAGTGCACCCTTTTTCCCGTTTGCGAGGGTGAGTCCGGTCATCACGATGGGATGTCAACACAAAAGAATCGTTAACAAAATTGGAAATAGTAGAAGAAGTGGAAGAAGTCATGAAGAGCGGGAGAACAAACCCTAAAACAATCCAAAGTAATCCAATTAACCCACAAAGCACAAATCCAAAATGAGAATACTAAAAATAAGTTCGTCAAGACTAAATGGCGCAGGAGACAATGGGACGACCAACTCCGATAGTGGTGATCTCAACGACACGATGGTCACTTGACCGAGACAAGCAAAATCATATCTCACCGGTCAAAAAAAAAATGAAACTCCGGCGATTTCTCCGGCAGCGGCGGATCCGGTGACTGCTCCAGCGGCAACGGTGACAGCAACGTGAACTAGTACACCAGGTAAGTTCCCAAGAAAGAGAGGTGGGTCACTAATGGACACACTTAAATACCAAGTCTTTCCTTGTCAGAACTTTCCTAAACATGCACTTTCACACTACCAAATAAAATTCAGTAACAAAGATAATTATTTTCTGATGTGGAGGATCAGTTTACCAGCAGCGGTGGGGCGGCTCTAGCAGCGGTGGGGCGACTCCAACAGTGGACAAAAGGAAAAAAAAATTCAAGATAACCTTAAGCTCTAGATACCATGTTGAATATAGAGGAAATAAGGTTTGAAATTAATCTCCCTTGTGTATAAATCACACATAGGGTAGTCTATTTATAGTAGAGAGATACAACTAAAAGTAACAGAATAAACAGAAGATATTGTTTGATATTTTGGTTACCAATATCTAACAATATCTTAACAATATCAAATAATATCTAAACAATATCTAACAGTACCAATTTTAGATTGTGTATAAATACAAAAAAAATATTAATGATTTTGTTATATTGCATATAATCTTTATATATTATAATTAGTAAATAAAAAATAAAAATATAATTTATGATTTTTTAATGAAATAAAATATATGTTGATGATTTTTAATATGAAAGTAATGTAAGTAGGAGTTGAAATGAGATAATATATATATATATATATATATATATATATATATATTTATTTATTTATTTATTTGTAAAACAAGTTTTACATTAAAAACAAAAGTAGCAATAGACTATATCATATATTTTTACCCTGATTTGTTTGAATCTCGATTAGTCTAACAACTATGTTACTTGTCATTTATATCCTATATTCGTTTGTTCTTTAACTTATTTCTTCAAGTAATTTTAAAAAAGTTACAATAGTCTCTTCAAATTTTTTTATTTCTTCAAATAAAAGAAATGTATTACACACCAAAATGTCTAAAATAGATAAATGTAAAAATTAAGATAAACTTTCATAGCTAAAACATAAAAGAGAAAATAATACAATTTTAGTAAAATTAGATTTTCCAAAGAATTTATAGATGATTGTTTTTGTGTCTTTTTGTTTGGGAATGTTTTAAGCTTTTGAAAGCTAGTCATTGTGAAATATGGTATCTTGATTTGGTATTATATATGATTTGATAAGAAAAAAATCAAATTATATTAAATAACATTTAAGTATTCAACCTCCTTAAAGAAGATAACATAATTTAGCTACTAGTTGTTTGACTTTACATAATATATTAATGTATGGTAGAATATATTAGCTTTTATTATGCTTTTTTTTTCACCAAAATTATTAGTAAATAAACATAAATTCATATTACATACAAACTTTATTCATAGATAATTTATTATTAATATTTTTAATATAGTTTATTATTATTAAATGTTTTCTTCTATTTTAAATTCCGGTTGTAATATTATATCATATCTAACTTATACTAGAGTTCACATTGTATCTTTTTCGTCTCTTTTCTGTGTTTTTTAAGTATATTTCTCCATTAATGATACTCTTTCCTTTATTTTTGCAAAAAATTTGTCAAGGATAGAGAAAATTATCATAAGATAAGAGTGTCATGACTAATACAAATTGACTCACCATCACGATTACGTCAAGATTGACTCATCACAATTACTTTAAAAATGAATTAGTTCAACTTAACTCATTTTTTGTGAGAAAAATTTGTTATAACAATCCATCAAGTTTTTTTTTTATTACTAAAATAGATGGGTTCACATATTAAAATATTTTTTTGTGTGGATTTACACTAACAAATAGATAAGAAAAATTAAAATAGTAAGGATTATGTAAAATAATTCAACTCACTGCTAATCTGACTCAAACTTATTTAATCCACTTGTTAAGTGAGTTGGACTTGCTTTAACCTATTATTAAAAAAATTAAAAATTTTCAACCCAACCCGACTTAAACTTGTAATGAACTGAATTGGTTCACGCTGGTTATATTGACGTCCCTAATATGAAATAAAATAAAATAAATTCAATAATATTTTTTTTGTCTTGATTTAATTGATAAGTTGTATGTAAACTCACAATTTATTAATGTATTGTATAATAAAAGTGTTATATAGAAGTTTACTTTTATCGAATCACGATTAAAGAGTTCTTTTAGCATAGATTTTTTTTTTCAAGTTTAAAAAACTAGAAAAGTATAATTCTTAAGTTTAAGAGGGTTTTTTTGTTCACATGTACTTTTACTTCAATAACTCCATTTAAAAATACTTTTTTTTTATTCATTTGAAATAGTTTATGTTTTTGTTAACAATAAAACATAAACATAATTATAATAGCTTCTAATCTATTTATAATTTTTGTTAATTATAGCCTTGAACTACCAATGTATATGGTTCTAGTGATACTTATTCTTTTTGACTTGGGTACCAATGTTCAAACATCATTTCTTGTGAATTGATTAGGTTATTCTTAGATAGCCAAATCAAATTTTCATCAATCAAAGCTTCTTCTATGCTTTTTGTTCTATCCCAGAGACCAATGCATATATTCATCAATCTCTGAATGAAGATTTTGTTTCTATAACCCAAAATTTGATCTTTAATAATTTGATAAAATGAATGATATACTTATGTTTCGGTGACATTGTTTGAGTTTGAACTACTTCATCTCTGTTTCCTATACCTTATTTTGTTTGAATTGTTTCATCTAATCTTGCTTCATATATATTCTTATTTTATCTATTATGCATTATCTTGTCTAGTATAAAATCACTTCATCTCTTGTCATACCATTTTTTAATATGCAATCCTTCCATATCTTTCTCTAAATTTGTAAGATGTGTATATGTTTCATTCATTTTTATGTACTTATTGTCTTAATTATGACCAAAATTCTAAACACATATTAGTTATATTTTAATCATTTTTAGCCACCATTGCAAGCTCAACTTAACTATTCTTTTTTTATATACAACTTCAACTTCGCTTGTAAAATATAATATTAGAAAGGACACTGAAAATAATATTTAGATTTTTTATTTATTTTATAACTAATTATCGTTTAAAAATCCCGAACTTTGTAATCAAATTAGACTAAACTTTTTGTGTATTTTTTTCCCTTTTTACTCTTTTTTTTATTCAACAAGACCATAATTTTGTGAGCAAGTTATTAAGCATGAATTTAATAAAAATTTAATAAAAATGATTTTTTTAATTCGTGATTCAATTAATTCAACTCAATCAAACTTAATAAAGATGGATTAAATTGAATAAAAAAATTAAAAAAATTCAACTTAATCCAAGAATTTTTAATTAAATTATATCAAATCCAAAAATGTTTTTTTCCATGCACTCTTTTCTTTCCAATTCTTGGTTTATAAGGATTTGTAAGTGCTTAATAACATCCAACACATATTGCGAAATGAAAGAATTTTCACATCCCAATAATTATATGCTTCCCCCATTAAATATTACTCAGATTTGGGTTTAATTGAAGGTTGATAGACTAGGTCATGCAAGCTCAGCCATTGGGTATGTTCTACATTACTCCTAATAACATCACTATTAAAATATAACCATTTTTAGTTTTGAGACAGATAAGAGACATAGATCCAAAGGCAATATATTTTTTAGATTTTCTCTATCAAAACTGTCCCATTATCATGCTTAGCCTATTAATTTGGTAGCACATCTTGTCACTCTTCATTTATGATTAGGATATAGGGCTAATATAGCCTTCCTAAGCCCAGCATGACTTAAGTTTTTAGGGTCATTATCTGAGAAGGGTATTATGTTGTCTTGCTAGAATGTCATATGAGACAAGACATGCCTATATCATTCTTGGTCCCCTCCAAAATTACAAGAAACTGATAATTTTTTATTGAACATATAATTTAATCCTATAGATTTCCAGTCTGGTCAGTAAGATGATGTGCAATCTACATTCCCTCCCAAACCATTTCACCACTTAGTGGTGTGGAAAAAGATGATTTCATGTTAAATATTTACACGACAAAGTGAATGAAAATTGTGTTGGTGTGTGATACTATCAAAATTTATTGATATCCATTAGAAGATTAAAATAGAGTAGACACAATTTTATCTTGATCTTAAAATTTATGAATTGTTTTGTTCTTCAAGTAAGAGCAAAACTGCTACACAATTTTGCCAGCTTGAAAACTAATCAAGGAGCTAATGACTCTTCTGTCCCTGCTTCAGCTAAACTGGAGATACACTAATGTTCCTGCATAAAATATTATAGAAACGTTTTTTCCTGGGAAATGTTTACAGAGAAAAGGACAAATCTACCAAAGTAGTAAGAGAACTGCAACATATATATACACTATGTTTTTTGTCATAGTACACATGTTACAGCCTTTGAAAATTCATTAGTGCACTTTTCTCTCCAAGTTTATACCTATTGTTAGGAATGACATCGTTCTGTGACAAACTAATGCTTCACGTATTATAAAGGGTGATATTGCTTAATTTACAAAATTCTATGCTATCAATCAATCATGTACCACAATTTTGGTTGGCCAGAGTTTCTTCCACCTTGAAATTTCTTCGCTGCTATGCAGCTTCCTGATTCCTCCATAGAAACCATCTATTTCATTGCCTTTTTCTATATGATGCTTCCTGTCTATCACGGCTTGTCTCCATCTGGATTCAGCAGTGTACTGTGTGAACTCCAAAATCACCATATCTGTCAGCAGCACCTTTATTTTATCAGTTAAACAGCTAAAATTTTTTTTAGCAGGTAGCACATAGCACAATCACATGGGGTAACCCATTCTTTGAGTTCGTAAGACTATAGTTTTTCAACATAAGGCCGTAACAGATAATATTTTCACCTTATTCAACTATAACTTCACATAATTTGTTTATTCTGTTTACTAAAACAATGAAAACTTGATTTTAGAAAATAAAGAGGTGGAGTGGAACCAGCTTCAATTCAATATAAACTATTATGCATTCATGTAGTTAGAGCATTCATAATGGTTTGATGAAGATTGGACAATTGAAATTTTGAATGTGTTTTAAATATAATTTATCAATATAAAACATGAACCGTCATTTTTCATAAGGAGTTCTCAGTTTCTGAATGTTTGTAAAAACTGAACGCATCAAATTTGAGGGAATAGTATTAAAATGTGCAAGTGGATTATCTTACCATTATTGTGACAATGACAATGGTTCCCATGCCCTTGACACTCTTCCAAATGACCAATGACACCATACCACCAACCTACGATAAAACATGTAAAAAATTATTCCAACAAGACAATCCTATACATAAATATATCATGATCAAATCGATATTAATATGTTTTCTTACTAAAAGTATGATTAAACCATTTAGTGGAGATAATTAGGAAATTAGTCAAAGTGCACAAGGATGAGACATACCATAAGGGAACTCTTTGTTTCTTCTCCACTGGATCTCAATGTGATCTCCAGGTTTCAAGTCATCCAAACAGTCAGAGATGTGAAGAGCATGTGGAGGAGAGGCAATTGGTGGCACTCTGAGTCGGTCCCATTGTATGTTTTCCTCAGTTGTCCATCTCCCATGAGGTGAGTACCTGCCACAAAAAACATGGATTTATCACCTTCAAAAATTTTGGGGAAAAAAGGCATCCTATAAAAAAGGTTTTGGCGTGACATCAAATTCCGGCCTCAGGGACAGTAGGGCAGGCACACGCATAATCTCAACTTTGAAGGAATCAACTTTTCCACGTACCTTGCCAGAAAAGTGTCAGATCGAGAGTCATAGCAAAGTTGGGCATCATAACATGAGAGCATGAACCCAGCATGACCGTTCTGAAAAAGGAAAGTGTGAAACAATTACACAAAGTCCCAAAGAGAAAAATTACTGTACAGATTACAGAATATTGGTATACGGTCGTTGAGATTAAGAGAAGCATAAAAAGTCATAAATCAGATTATTATGTGCAACCAATTACCTCTCGATTATAGACTTGCGCTGGGAACCAAAATTTGCCACTCTCAAGAGAAAGATATAGAGCCATGATTGAATCTTCTGGTAATGACCTACTTGATTGTGTTCCCTTTTCTGATTTTGCTTTAATCCATACCAAGGGGTGAAAACCACCATGAAGGAAAGCAAATATTCCTTTCTGATTTTGCAGGTTGGAAATCTTCTCTCTGGTCTTGGAAGCTACATGCCATTTCCATTGTCTGTAAGCAGCATCACCAAACACCTTACCCCATTTCCTCTCCATGTGTTTCATCCATAAATGATCACTTCTACTTGTATCCCTAAGAGATGTGCAGGCTGTTGCAACCCTACATAATTCAGCAGGTGAAAGGTGCTCAAGGATACAGTCCAATGGTAAATCAGGCAAATCCAAGAGAGAAACCTTTCCCTCCTCTTCCTCATTCTCCACCTTAGACTCTAAACTGTTCTTTTTCAATGACATGACAAGAGAAAACTGAAAAAAGCTACAAGGGCTGCTTGTGCTTCCTTTTCTGAGCCCAGAAACTAGCCAACTTGAAAGGCTCCCCCAAAACCCAATTGATCCTAGTTTGTGCCCACGCTCCCATGATGAGAGAGGCTTACTGGTAAAGGACTTGGAAAGGATGAGAAAGGAAACAAAAGATATAATGAAGTAAAGCATTGTAGTTGAAGGTTTATATATCAAAAGGGTCCAAGGCTAACAGAGTTTGGCAGAGAAATCAGCAAAGCTGAAACTCATACCAATGATTTCCTATTAAAGAGGAAAAAGATTCACCAATGGAAGAGGAGTGGTGAGGTGACTTGGCCAAATGAACGGTTTTGCCCAGCTCAGCGCCTTAATAGACACACACAACTTGCTTTCCTTGAGGAACTTGTGTAAACTACACAACCGACAAGGCTTCACAGCTGGGTTAGTTAAAGCACTTTCCACATAGAACTCAAAAACAATCATGAAGGATGCTCCTTAAAAATGTGTTAGCATCTATAAACAGTGAATTCCCACAAAGGAGAGAAACAACATGTACGGGCAGTGGGAGGCAGCTGTTAAGTGATTGATGGAGAGGCCTTGAGAAAGCAAATCAAAGCAAAGCAAAGCACTATATTGGTTAGAATAGATTAGAATGATAAAGACACCAAAAAGAGGCACGATGGATCCAAATGTAAAACCAATAGACCCTGTTTAATCACATGATGTGTTAGGCTGTTGTTGTGTAACTGTACAAATAAATGCATACACACGCAAATCAATTGAAAATTGCAAAGAACAGAAGAAAGGGTTAATTAGATGAGTATGAAATAGCAGTAGCAAGTAGGGTCATCTAAAGTTTAATCAGAAGTGACCTTTATTATGTCGTGGTTAAGTAAAGAGGGAGAAGAAAGGGACATTTATCTGAAAAAAAGAATGATGGGTTATGTTAAGAGGGGTTAATGAAATTACATTAACATTACATTGCAGCGCAGGTGGTGGTGGGTATGTCACAACACAAGTCACAAGGGTGCCATAAAAGTCTACCTGTTCCTTTGCCTAACTCCCACCAAACTCTAGTACCGTCCACCCAAAAGACCCAGACAAGGGATTTCGTGGTATTCTTAATCAGTCCCTACTCATTTCAACAACCAAAATTGTGTCCTACAACTCATTAAGACCTCATAAATTCCACCATATTCATTGCTATGCCCGCGGAAAGGACACGGGGCCTCTTCCCCTGCCTTGTGCTACTGATATTTCTTTTGTTCTTCCATTCAACTTTGTTTCTCACGGAATACACAATATTTTTATTTTCTCTCTCTTTCAAAATATACCTCTTACATCTTTTCCATTTTCTTTCTTTCTGTTTTACTTGTATACTTCTTCTTAACAATTTTTTCAACAAATTTTTATCTCCTCTTTAATTACAATATTCCAACTTTATCTCTATCATAATTCTATTAATTAGAATTTATTATCACGTCTAAAATATTATCTATTTAAAAATTATATAATTAATCTTTTTACTGAATATCTTATATATAATTTAATTAATCGAAGATGTTTATCATCAGCTTTAATTATAATATAGTTTTTATATTAAAAAATATTCATCTATAATAAATATTAGTTATATAAAAATAAGCATTTATTATATACGCTAAATATTAGTGTTGTGTAAATTAAATAAAATGTAAAATACTTTTAAAAATTTGAACATTGATTTTTTAGAATTTTGACATAACGACTAGTTTATTTCTAATAATGATCTTATCGTGAGTATCTTAAAAATGAATGAATATGGAAAAAATAGTTATATTCTTTGAAAATTATTTAAAAAAAAATTTAAAGTTTTGTCATCTTAATCACTGCAACAATGACATTGAAATCGTTTTCTTTATTAATTAAAAAATTTATAAATTTCTGTTGATTCAGATCCGATTTGAAAGTGATAAGAGGAAATTTAAGATATAAGAAGTTGAATAGTTTGATAAGATTTAGAATACGTAAATCATGTGTAATTTTTAATTGTTTTTGGATTATTTCTAAATTAAAAAGGGGAGAAACTAGTTAATAATTTTTACGATCTTGATTATATAAGGATGATGCCTAAGTGTTGTTGAAGTGAAAGAAGTGATCTTGCAACATTAATTAATACTTAGAGAAGCTAAGTTACATAATTAATGAGAAAACGTTCAAACGATAATACTTGCAAATGAGAAATAATTGTGGCGGTTTGTTCTGAGTAGGTAAGAGCTCTCAACAAAGTTTATCTCCTCACTATTTTGGTGGAAAAAGTAAAATAAAGAAGAACAAATAGATAATATATATATGATGATGAGTGTTATAGCAAATAGATAATATTCTTTCCACATAAGGTTCTTAAAATGACCACTTCTAATATTATTGGGGACCATCTTTGTTGAATAAACTAAAATTGTTACATGAATATGATGTAGAACTTGGTGGGGGACCCAAGAGTGTGGGGATCCGGGTCTAGCAAGAAAACCAAACCATGTTAAAGAAGAAATCAATATCTGCTTTTGATGCCCCAAATCTTTGAGTCATTCATATTATTATTATATTAAGAGTAAAAGGCAGGTAGGTCATCATCCATCATGCACACTACCAAGTAACCCACCAACACCTTTCACAATTTCTATGATGATGTCATTCTATATTTTCAGATGGAATCCACGTGAAACATTGTGTTCAAAACAAAACACCCACAAGGATTGCGGACCAATATAAATTTTGTTAAAATTATTATTATGCATTAAAAAAATATATTTATCTTTTAATTTTATATATTTAAATCCAGTCACTCGATAATTGTTTTATATTGATATAAATCCATCACTTAATTTAAAAAAAAAAAGGAAATTCTCTCCACGTCTTAGATCCAATTTAGCGTCATAACCATATTAATTATTTTTAGTGAAACTATCTCAATTATCCTTAATTAAGATAAAGTTCATATACATCTACTCAATTTTTTTTATATATAGTTTTAAATTGAAATTTAACTTAAAAAAATAATGAAAAAAAATTAAAATTTAGTATACATTTAGAAACGTGAAAAATATTTTGATAATTATTGTTTAATAAAATTTGTATTTAAATATGTGAATGAAAAGTGATATAAAATATTTTTTAAAAAAGTATTATTTTTAATCATAAAATAATAATAATAATAATTGATTTAGTATTTAAAATAATAATAATTATTGACTAAGGAGAGGACTATGTCTCGGAGGTCTGAGCATCTTTCGGGATATAGAAATATTCCATGAGGTTTTCTATCTTAGAAAAAAAAGTTTTCGAGATGTTTTTGGGAAGAGAAAAAATTAAGTTTAACATAACGGGACCAACGAGACCAAATTCTGATGGTGATGTTTGATTATTTATGGTTAAAGGTTTTTCTTACTCACTTTCCACTTATAATTCCTACTATCATATGTGTAATGTAAATAATATGTATCCAAATTCATATAATAATGCACACGAGGTTCATAGAGAAGACTTTGACAACATGATTCATGATGCTTTAGGTGCAGAGTTTGTGAGTCATTTTGATGAAGAAAATGAGCAGTTTCCAAATATTGAAGCAAAAAAGTTTTATGATTTATTACATACTTCACAAAAACCATTGTGGCCAGGATGTACTAATCACACTGAATTACCTATTGTTGTTGTTAGATTGTTGACAATTAAATCAGAGGGAAATATGTCCTAACGATGTTTTAATCAAACATTGGCTCTTTTGAAAGAGACACATCCTGTAGATAATTTATACTAGAAGATTATTATAGAACCTTAAAATTGGTTTCAAAACTTGGTTTATCAGTAGAAAAAATTAATTGTTGTGTTGATAGGTGTATGTTGTTCTACTCAGATGCAGATAAACAACTATCTACATGTAAGTTTTGTAAAAAACCTCATTATAAGACAAAAAAAGTGGGTAGAGGTAAATATAAAAATATCCCTATAACATTTACTTGTTTTGTTTGGGTACAGAGAAAATATACTATTTTCCCATCTGATCATAGGTTAGCTAGAAGAAACTTTGAAATGCGAGGTGACAACATATTGAAAAGTTTACTAAACAAGGCACGCATGATAATGAAGAAGCCAAATTGGCTTGCAAAAGATGTATGAGATATCTTATGCCAACATTGGGGATCAAAACAATTCAAAGTAAAAAGTTTGATTGCAAAAGCAAATCGAGCTTGTGATTGTGATGGACTTGGAATTTCACTCTATATTGGTAGCTCCATTAGCATTTCTCAACATAGAGAACATTTGGTAAAGTTTGTTTTACACTCCTTTATGCATGTATTGGTCCTATTTGTTGTACTTTTGAACCTATAATGTATATGTGAATTATGGAACCCTAGACTACATTTAGGTGTGGAAAGATTGTACATTAGTTAGTTCAAATTTGATTGCATGGTGTTGTTTATGATAGAAGAGAAAAATAGTTATTACATTACCTATTGTCATGACTTGATTTTTTTTTTTGTCTTTTATGGTGGATATTGTACTTCTAAGTTTGTGTTTCTAACCATACTTTAGATAATGTTGAATGGAAAACTCCCTACCTCATCAGAGTTGTTTCTCAAAACACACAAACGAAAGGATAACACATGGGTGGATCAAAGATCAGCACATGTGGATGTAAGTTCCTTATTTTTCTTATTATGTTAATTTCTTAAACAATTGTATCCTTTTTTATGTTTTTATCCAATTCACTACTATTCTATTTTAATGTTTATAGGCAGAACTTAGTCGTGCATGGGAAGAAGTCTCCCAATCAGGATCTATTGCAGAAGACTCTCTGCCTGATGAATTACAGGTTTGGTGTAAAGTTGCTGGAATAAACAAAGACAAAGTATATGGGCTTGGATCTGAGTCAAGCAAAGCAATTGAGAGAAATCTTTGTCACGATTCTACTTCATCATCTATCCAACTTATGAGAGAGGAGATTGAACAATTAAAACACAAGTTACAGGAAGTTGAGATTGAAATGTATGATCTACATGAAAGAATGTTAACTAATGAGAGACAAATTCATAAAAATGATAAAATGTTGCTCCTCTTGATGAAGAAGATGGATGTTCAACCTCCTAAATTGTGAACTGATTCTATTTTGTATATTATATTTGTTTTGTTAGTTTCTGATATTTCCAGAATTATGATTTTTATTTTAGTTTATTCTACTTACTTTTAGATTGAATTTTCAATATGTAAGAAAGTATTTAATTCATGAATGATGAATTTATTTAGAACAAAATTTGTGGTATTATTTTGATGTTTATCTTACGTAGTGAAATTTTCATATATTTAATACAATATATAATGTATTTCACATTCTTTAATCAGACTTATCGTTATTTTAAAAATAATATAAAGATATAGTGACCAATTTGGTCATATGTATTCGGTCATAAATTCGGTCACTAAATCGGTCACTAATTTGATTACTAAATCGGTCACTTAATTGGTCACTGAATCAGTCACTAATTCGGTCATTGATTCAATCACTAAATCGGTCAGTAATTCGGTCACTGAATCAGTTACTAATTCAGTCACTAGCAACTAATTTGGTCATCGAATCGGTCACTAAAATCGGTGACCAAGGAAATAGTGACCGATTCCAATTGGTCACTATTTTAGTTAGTGACCGATTTTGGTCATTTAGTGACCGAATTTTTTTTACTATTTAGTGTTTTTCTTGTAGTGATACTCCTTTCTGAAAAATGGTTAGACTCTGATACCATTTCGGATAAAGATCCCTTCTTATCCAGACAATATGAACCTCCTCGGGCATAACGACGCTATCCCTCGGCTGAAAGCCCATTCAAGTTCATATTTCCTATAAGAAGAACACTCTGCGGTAAAGCAGTTTCATAGATTCGGAAGCTTTTTCATACACATGATCCTCTTTCGAGATAAGTGTAGAACATGTTTGTATTTAAGTGAAAAATGATACTAAGAACTATAGACAAGAATTTTTTTAGAAAAAGAACATTTTTAACAAAATTTATTAAAAAATAATTTAAATACTTTTAATTACGAGTTCTAATTTTTAAATTAGGTCAAAACATTTCATTGTATAATTTTTTTTGTTTTTCTTGTTTTCATTTGAATGTTTTCTCCCCAGGAACACCGAGAGAAATCAAGTAGGAATTTTGTTTCAGGGAAAATATTTTAAATTTTTATCTCATCATCTTAATATTTCTAGGAAAAAATATTTAGTAGTTTTAAATTTGATATATTAATTTTTTAATAGGAAATATAACTAATTTATTTGAATGATAGAGTATTTAGAAAATATAGCTTATAATTTAAATTTCTATTTCATATTCGATAAATTTAATATTAGTTTAAAACTGTAGAATTTATTTTTGAATTATGTGAAAATCAAGTAGTGAAATTAGAATTTCAAATTCAGATGCTATTTTATTATTTACATGTAAGATGTTAAATCTTTCTTCTATATAAACTAGACAAATTATCTTAAATAAGAATATTTCTAAAACTGTTATTCAACACATACTCCATCTTAATACAGTATTTTATTATTTTATTTTAATGTGAAGATAAAAGTTTTCTTGACCATTTAAAACCATTTTTTAGTTTTTATATTGCATTTAAACAATGAAAAAACTGGGTTATATTTAATCAATTTAATATATATATATATATATATATATATATATATATATATATTAATTGAATTATTGACTTGAACAAGTAATAATAGTATTTTTTTTAATTTATAAAATTTAACACTTGGCGGAATGTTTTCAATTTGCATTGATGAACTAAGATCCTCTAATAATAATAATATTTAATTACCTTTAATTTACACAATTATCTTTTTTCACTCATACATAAAAATTATATATATTTGCATTGATAATAATGTTTTTTCTTACTAATTATTTTCCTTTTAATCTTGTATTTATAATTTTTTTTATTGTTTTATCTATTTGTTTTATAGGTTTGTGAGAAAAATAATATTTTTTATATATTTTTTCTCTATAATAGTAATGATATTGTGATTTTAATATATTTTAGTGAAATAATATGATTAATATATTTAATTTTGTAATTTTTTTTGTTTTCTCATTTAAAATATTAATAATCCTTTTTATTTTGTTTTCATTGTAATGATCCGTGAATAAAGTTTTTTTTATTATTATTATTATTATGACATTTTGATTCAGCTGTTGAGTTAAACAAACTCTCCCCTTATAAAATTGGTGATACTTTTGGAGATGTATTGATCATTGATTTGAATAAAGAAAATGATAAACATTTGGAGAGATAACAAATAAGTTAAAATTTATAACTCACGACATATCAACATAAATAAAATGTAAATATAGACAATATTTCATCAAATATTACAAAGAGTGAGAAATATAACAAAATTTATGAAAGTTTAAATTATGTGTTTTTATAAAAATTAGATTAATAGTATTATATTGGTATTAGAATGCTCTTTTTGTTATTTGTCACGTGTGGACTTGTTCAACACAAACAAAAGTTGGAAAAGGATGCGATTAGCACAAGGAAACAAGGCATAGTAAGATGAAGAATAGAAGGTGCTATGAACATGTTTGGATTGGTTCATGCAGATGAATTAATGGTGGACACAATCTAGTTATCTAGATGCAAAGAGCTTCGTCCACTTTTCAATCTCCTCCTCCTTGTCAAGTTTTCTGATTCCACCGAACCAGCGAAGCAACGAGACCCTTTCCTCGTACCTGTTTCTATTCAACACTGATCTTTTATTTCTACTAGCAGACTGATATTGCTTGAACTCCACTACCAACTTGTCTGCAACAGAGTTAAACATTGCACCGATGAATTCATATCAGACCCCTCCAAAAAAATAAACAACTTTTGAAACTTCAACATTTATGAAACTTTTGAGCTGAATCTTTCTCACCACTGTATTGGCAACGGCAATGATTCACATCCTGGTCGCATGTTTCCAAGTGACCAATTACAGCATACCACCAATCTATAACTCATTCAAAATAGGTACTTGTATTTGATTATTTGTTAATCAGAGTCAAATTCTTGATATGAAGTTATGATAAATAAGAAATAATGACGAGTTACAAGAAAGATATGCTAAGAGTCAATTAATTACTTACTATAAGGGGATTCTTTGCGTCTTTTCATCTGAATCTCAATTTGATCTCCAGGTTTCAAATCATTCATACAGTTAGACATATAAAACTCTCTTGGGGAAGTTTCAATTGTTGATAATCTCAACCTACCCCACTGAATATTTTCTTCAATCATTCGCCACTCACCAGTTGGAGACCTGTAAAATATAAAAAAATGCATATATGACAGAAACAGAACAACATATTAAGGCGACTTCCAATAAATTTTACTCAATTATAGAAAGAATGTTGGAAAAAAAGTGTCAGAAAGAGGGTAGCAGACATTTCTTAAAAGTATGATTGCTGACTTCTAATCCAAATTTAACTAACATCAGACATAACCTGGAATAATGGGAGTTCATTATTATTGTGAAGGATTGAACTTTACCTTGCCTTGAAGGTGTCTGTTCTAGAGTTATAGCTGACTATGGCATCATAACAGAATAGATTTGCAGTCTACAACCAAAGTTATGCATGATATAACCATTAATTAGCTGTGCCCTATACACTTGAACATAAATATATGGTTAGTAGTAGTTAATGATTAATGAGTGTTACCTTATACACTTGAACAGGAAACCAGAAGCGGCCACTTTCAAGACAGACATACAAAGCCATTTTTGAACAATTTTTGAACAAGGTAATCAAGTCAATGAAGTGTTCCAAATAAGAATGAAAGTTAAGGAAAGGCCAAACACCACTGAAAGAGCCACATGATCCACTCTGATTCTGCTGAAGTAACAGGATGCTTTGTGTGTTTGCTATCTTTGTTGTGTGCCACTGCCACTCTTGGTAAGCAACATCACCAAGAAGCCTACCCCATTTCTGCTTGATAATTTTCTCCCACAAAGCATCACTTCTGGTTTTGTGCCTCAAACTGGTACACACTTGTGCCACTCTAAACAAATCCAGTGGTGAAAGGCACTCAAGAATGCAATCCAAGGTCCAGTCAGGCAAATCTAGGAGACAATAAACTCTGCAATCCTTTTGCATCTCCAGTTTTGATACACAGTTCTTCTCAGATGACATTTTTATTTGTTGAAAACTTAGAAGATACCAAGATAATTTGAAATGATTTTGCAGCTTCCACCATGAAAACCCAAAATTGGTAGAAAGGAAGTAACACAGCTTATTAAATTGGCAAGTCAAATTGTGCCTTTGTCTACATTCTTAATTATCACTTTAATTTAGTCCTTGTTAACAAGGACGCTTTATTAAACATAAATTCAATTAAAAAAGTAATTTATACATGTTTTTAAAACGACAAAATAAAATATCTAAAATTAAAAGATATTAATATAATTTAGTTCGTATGCATGTGTGAACCAGTGAATTTTACTGAAATTAAGGACAAAATACAATTAAATTTAAGAGACAGAAAATGACTTGGTCATGAATCCAGAAACACCTTGAAAGCACCGTGACATGTTTTCGATGATTTCTATGTCATTTTGATTTTTTTATTTACCCATCAATCCTGTTAATGTGTCGATGTTGTAAATATTTTTCATAAAACAATTAATCTTTTTGGCCTTTTTGTTTGAGTAAAAAAGTTTATCTTCCAGGTAAAGGTTAGGTAAGGTATTTTTACGGAGTAAACATTTATGAGTTATAAGTCATTATAAGTTATTTAATTTTTTATTTTATTTAATGAGATATTTTTCTTTTTAAATAATTAGATTATGAGTTTTTCTTATTTATAAATTATTCAATTTATATGAGATTTAAAACTCACATTAAAATTTTTAATCGAGTTTTAAATTATGTACCACGAAGTTATAATTATATAAAAAAAGAAAAAAGAATGAAATTAAACTAATTTAACTTTTATAACATACTTATTGAATGAATAATGCTTTTTAAAATTTATTAATTGTCTTGTAGAAGTATAAAAAGTTATATTTTAAAAAAATGTTATTTTAATATAAAAATAAATAAAAAATTATAAAATATATGATTAAATTACTTGTAACATATTGTAAAAATAATTATAAAAGATGATAAAATATAATTACAAAAAGAGATTTTTTTATATATAGCATAAGTATAACATATTTTTTTTAGTTTTATTTTACTTTTTTTGTTCGATGACATAAAAAAATCCCCCATATATATATATATATATATATATATATTAATTAGTTTTTGTATATTCATATTTTTTATATTATTAATTTTGTAAAATAATTATTTTTTAAATTATATATATATATATATATATCACATTTTTTTTCTTTTTATTTTTATACATGTGTTTTTTCATTCTTCTCACATCTTTCCCCTTACTCTAAATGTATAATATCAAAATAATTATTTTCTATCTCTCATTTTTATAAGTAGTATATATATTTCATTGTAGCAGTAAATTTTTTTACATATTTATTTATTTATTCATGTACGACTTTAACAATTTTTATTATGTTATAGGATTTAAGATTAATAATGAATTGATAAATTTATGAATGTGAGATTTCTTATATAAATTAATGACATAAAATGGGGAGAATTAATAGTTTTTAAATAGTAGATAGGATTTCTCTGTAGCATCTATGTCTGATATAATTTTAATTTATTGAGATTTTTTTTCTAAAAGTGTTTATGGAGAATTTTTCAAGAATCACTTTGATCACAACTTTTATTTATTCTAACATTTTTTTTAACAATAATTTAAAATTAAAAAAAAAACTCAAATAACTCAAATATTATATTCAAATTATGTTGATAAAAATACTTCAAATTATAAACCCATTTTATTATAAAAATAGCCTAAATATGACATGATTACATTGATACCCTTGTCCCCATTTAAGAAAACAAAATCTGAAACAATGGTATGTCTCATATCACATGCAAATTTCCTTCAAATTCATCTTCATGGCTTCTTTCCCCTCCTCTTTTTCAATTAAAATGGAATTGAAGAAACAAGAGTGGAAGATGGGACAAATACAAATACAATTTCCATTTTAAAGTAAACAGCTTATTGTAATTTGGAAGACACATCCCTGCATAAATATGAATGGTGTACAAAATCTAGTCATCAAGATTCAATGGCATTGTTCCACCTTTGAATCTCCTCCTCCTTATAAAGTTTTCTGATTCCACCGAACCAGCGAGGCCTAGACCCTTGTTCCTCATGCGCCTTTCTGTTCAATACTGCTCTTCTCCATCTACTGTGGAACTGATATTGCTTGAACTCCACCACCAACATGTCTGTAACAAAAGTTAAACATTTATGAAATATTAAAACAAACGTACTCATTATAAGAATAATAACATACATAGACAATTTTACCTATGATAGGAAACACAAAAACACTCTATACTTTTGTAAATATTAAAACTTCTCTCGTTGCAAATATTCATAAACAGCTTCTTCGTATAGGTAAAACTTGAAATCCTACCATTATATTGGCATTGGCAATGATTCACATCTTCATCACATGTTTCCAGATGACCAATTACAGCATACCACCAATCTATACCTCATTTAAAATAGAAGTAAGGAAATCAATCAGAAGAATGATTAAGTACTACTTGACATAATTAGATGTAAGAAGTGAATTTGAAGACATAATAGTGAATTAGTCAATTACTTACTATAATGGGAATCTACGTGTCTTCTCATTTGAATCTCAATTTGATCTCCTGGTTTCAAATCATTCATGCAGTTAGACATATAAAAAACCCTTTGAGAAGTTTCAACTGGTGATATTCTCAACCTATCCCATGGAACATTTTCCTCAATCATTTGCCACCCACCTGTTTGAGACCTGTAAAATATAAAGCATACATATAGCCCCTGATATGAAGATACTATGCTGTATATCATTGTATGTGTGTAGCTTGTTTTTAATCTCAATGAACTTGTGTGCTGAGAACTGTGTGATTATTGAGTTTGTCCTCCAAATTAAGCCAACAACAATCACAATATAGAATAGTGGTAGTTCATTTTTATTGTAAAGGAATGAAAATGAACTATACCTTGCTTGAAAGGTATCTGTTCTAGAGTCATAGCTGACAATGACATCACGACAGAATAGGTTTCGATTTCCAGTCTACAACCAAATTTATACATGCATGATATAATCAACGTTAAAGCAATGGCTAAAAATTATAAATGTATAGAGATAGAAGCAATTGATCATCAATTAGGGTAACCTTGAAGACCTGAACAGGAAACCAGAAGCGGCCACTCTCTAGAGATACGTACAAAGCCAGTTTGGAACAATTTTCAAACAAACCGATCAAGTCAACAAAGTTTTCCAAGTAAGAATGAAAGCTTAGAAAAGGCCAAACACCACTGAAAGAGCCACATAATCCACTCTGATTCTGCTGTAATAACAAGTGGCTTTGTGTGTTTATTTTTGTTGTGTGCCTCAGCCACTCTTGGTGAGCAGCATCACCAAGAAGCCTACCCCATTTCTGCTTGATAATTTTCTCCCACAAAGCATCACTTCTTGTTTTGTCCCTCAAACTGGTACACACTTGTGCCACTGTAAACAAATCCAGTGGTGAAAGGCACTCGAGAATGCAATCCAAGGTCCACTCAGGCAAATCTAGGAGAGAATAAACTTTGCAATCTTTTTGCTTCTCCAGTTTTGGTACACAGTTCTTCTCAGACGATGTCATTATGATTCGTTAAACCTAATACAAAGGCGGTTTGAAGTGATTCTGCAGCTTCAACAATACAAACCCAAAAGTGGAAGAAAGGAAAGAATTAAAAGTTGGCTGATTAACGAAGAATATCACCTATGTAACTTGCTTATTAAATTGGTAAGTCAAATTATACCCTACGTTAACAATTAACACCTTAATTTCTCCTTGTTTATGAAGCTTTATTAAAAAAAATAAAATTAAAACTGTTTACTGAAGATGGAATTGCTATAAATAACAAATCAATTAAAAACATTATTTTAATAAATCCGAAAAATACATTAGCAAGGACTCAAGGATTAAATTTTTTTTTTTTAATGTTTAAGAGATAGAAAGTTCATTTTAAAGTGTACAAGACTTGGTCTTGAACATAGACACCTTGAATGCACCGTTACACGTTGTCGATAGTTTCTAATTTTCATTGTTTAATTCATTGTCACTTGGTTGTTGATCTATAGCATAAGGACATTTACGTAAGAACAAGAAGAGTAAAATAATTAACCTTTGGTTACGAATATAGTTGTGATGCGTGTATTGTTGCTATTTGTTAACGCTTTCATTTCATCGTTTACGTTGTTCATCATGACTTTTTCATATATTTTGCAGTAATAAAATATTATTTTATTGTACTAGATTTGTTTTAATTAGAAATAATGAAATCCCAAAGCTGAGAACAACATATTTTATCACTACCAAATATAGCCAGCGGAATCGGATCCACCCTTTCCTTGTCATGTCCTGGTCTGTGATATTTTTTTTTCATTATATTTATAATTATTTTATCATATGTTATTAATAAAATGAATAAATGTTATTGTAAGATTATGCATTAAAAAAGAAGTAATATTATTCTTGAAGAAATAAGAGAATATGATAAAGTGAAAAAAATTGTAAAATACATCATAAATGTGATATTTTTTTTATCATATTAATAATTATTCGATGTAAAAAAATTATGATGACATTTTTAAAATTAAAGTAAATTTTTTTATTGTCTGATTTTATATGATTCGATATATAATTCATTTTAACAATAAATATTATTCTCAAACTTATTACACGTCGATCTCCTGTCACGACTTTAGAAAGCTCAATAAAGAAGAGGAGATCTTCGATTTGAAATACGAGAATTTCTATCATGACGTCGTGAAGCAAGTTCATAAGGATTAAAAGCTGGTTGAGCTAAACATGAACCCTCTTCCACATCAGAATCTGTTAGAAATAAGAGTAAATACATCAAAATTTATCACTACAATAAAAGATGAGAAAAGAATAATAAAACACACAATAGATAATAATATAATTTTCCTACCAAAAACATATATAATTTCTTCTTTAAATTTAAATTAATAATAATAATAATAATAATAATAATAATTTTTTCCTCCCAACCTTCTACTACCAAAGATACCCAATCTAGATGTTGATCTAATATTTAGAGTACACAAATATTCTTTCCTCAACAATGCATAAGCTCCTTTTTTTGAGAAAATAAAATGAGTTTCTAAATCCTAAATTCTAAATTAGTTCAAACACAATTTCTCTCTCTATATATATATTTAAACTCCTGTCTCCTGTCACAAAATTCACAAATTATCCAAAACCTTATTTGAAATTTAATATAAATGTGCCAGAAAGAATCAGATTTACACCATTTTAAAAAAACTTTGAGAAAAGAAGTTAGGAAACAAAGTTCTTAAGAAAACAATGATTTGGAAGAAAATTTATGATTAGTCCATCATGCGAACGATTACAGTGAAAGAATTTTCTCCCATTTTTCGATCTCCTCCTCACTGTCAAGCTTTCTAATTCCTCCATAGCACCCACTTGGTTCTTCATATCGTTCCCCATTTTTGTGTAGCTTTAGTCGTCTCAGACTTGAATCCCGAGAGTGTTGAATGAACTCCAAGATCAATGTATCTGTTAAAAGGGAGTGTTCAAATCAGCTTTAAGTTTATACTATGATGAACCAATCATATCAAATTAAATGAATGATTTTATATCTCTGACTCAAATTAACATGCACGCTAAAGTTAGACATTATAGAGAAGCAACCTTGAGTCTTGTCACTGTGTAAAACAATAATATTTTACACCATTTAAACTAACAATAGTTTCTCTGAGAGAGTGAGAGAATAACTTCTTCACTAATAATGGCTTTTTTACGTTTCTGGTCAAAACTATAGATGATATTTACTTGATAGAGTCGATTTTAAATTTTTTTACTAAATTGGATGAAATTGTTTTGAAGGCACGATTTTACTATGAAATCTGTTAGGTAGTACGATTCCAGGAAATTACTTTTTTTTTTTCACAGCAACGATGGTTTTCATCCCTTCAACACAGATTCTTCTTCTCGATCCTTGAAATAGTTAAAGGTAACTGATGGATTATCGTATGGATTTCTGCTCATGAGCCCCAAAAATCACCTGTGGATCTTGGTCTCATGATCTTTTCAATTATGATTCCCAAATTGTTGTTTCATTTCAGACTTCAAGCAGCATATGAGATACTAAACTGGTTTGACACAAATTCAAAAATCCTTTGAAGTTTTTCAGCCCAAGAATAGCCCAATCTTAATCCACTACCTGATTCAATGAAGCTTTTGTGATGCCCACTGTTTGGACCAGAGTGACTTCAACAGGCAAAAGGGAAGGCACCACTAGAAGGTTCATTGGATTATCTGTCATCCCTTGACCTACCTGTGGCTGATCCAAAACCACGTTGATTCCATGAGCCTTCATATGCTTAGCAGGACCAATCCCACTCAGCATCAGCAACTGTGAGCTTCCAATTGCACCAGCTGCTAAGATTATTGCATTCACTAAAGTCGTGTTAGGTAACACAGCTTTAGAAAAAAACAAAATTAAAATAAATAAATTCGTGTTATTTAATACGATTTGCTGAAGAAAATATGATTTTCAACTCAACCCATGCAACTTAACACGATTTCAGTTGCACCAATTCTTCCTAATGAAATTGTGTCTCCAATTACAGTTTCACCCAATTTAGTAAAATTTTTTAAAACCGACTCTACTACGTAAGTATCATATTTTTGACCCAGAAAAGTTAATAAGCCCAGTAATAATAGATATCATCCATCTCAACATGAAAATGTGAGACATGCAAACGAAATGATGCATAAAGATTTTTCACCAGATTGGCGACCGCAGCAGCATTTCTCATTTTCATTACAGGAGTCCACGTGACCAATTACAGCATAGAACCAATCTGCAATTCAATTGATTACGCATCAACTTTCTCCTGATTGATGAAGCTTGTATAAGAAAACTTGGTGGAAAGCTTTTATTTTAAAAGTGGATATGGAATCACAACAGAACATGAACCTGATGTTAACCTAAATATCCTTTACTTGCTAACGTATCTGAGAGCTGAGAAAGCAAAATGACAAGAAACCTACCATAAGGAATTCCATTTCTAGATCTCCGTTGGATCTCAACATGATCCCCTGGTTTCAGGTCTTGCAAACAATCAGAGACGTATTCATCACATGGAGGCATATCAATCGGAGGAGCCCTCAGTTTATCCCATTGGATGTTGCTCCCCACTTTGTGCCAACCCCCACTTTGACGTCTACAGTTATGCATTACTTTGAATTAATTGACATGTTTAGTTAGTTTATATTTATATATTTTCATTTCTTAATCTCGGATTAAAAGATAAACCATACTAAATATTACTATTTTCCTCCTCTGATATACCTTTTATACCTTGCTCGAAAGGTATCAGATTTGGAATCATATCTAACTAAGGCCTCACGAACAAATAATCCCTGAAAAAGGAAACATAAGAGATCTCATAATAAATTTTGCTTAATGAAAAGTATAAGCAATAAGCTAACTAGGAAGGGTTTACCCTGTAGATTTGAACCGGAAACCAGAACTTGCCAGTTTCTAGAGAGACATACAAGGCCATCATAAAGCTATTTGACAATGAGCTATTAAGATGGCTACAATCATCTAGATATGATCTGAGGTATAACGTAGGCCAAGTACCACTGAAAGATCCCAATGACCCATTCTCACTGTTCTGTTGATACAAGGGGCCGTTTCTTTTCTCCTTAGCTGTTGTGATATGCAGTTTCCACTCCTTGTAAACAACATCACCAATGACTCCACCCCATTTCTTCTCTACGTGGATTTCCCACAAACGATCACTTCGACATATATCCCTTAAAAAAGTACACACTTTACACAGTCCAGCCAGTTCCTTTGGCGAAAGGCGCTCTAGAATGCTTTGCCAAATGGCTTCTGGCAAAGTCAAGAGAACGCTTCGCGATTCAATGTCGTCTGTGGTACGATCAAAAGGGTTGTTAGAAATGTAGTCCGTGGTATCATCAAAAGGGTCACTAGAAATGTTGTCCATGGTATGATCAGAAGAAGGGTGAATGGCACTCTTATGATTATTATTCATCAGTATATTTATAATAACTCAATAAAAAGAGAAATATTAACTTTACCCAGATTTTAGGTATCTTTAACAGACTAGACTAAGTCAGAAATTAAACAGAGACTGAAACATTCTACGACAAAAACAGAGAAGGCCACATAATAACAGCGTAATATTTGCGAAACATTGAATGTTATGGTCTTACGTAGTAATATTATTATTAGCATCTTTTGAATAAACAATCAAATAATATTTTTTTTATTTTTAATTTTAAATACATCTATTATATATTATTATATTAAATATTAATATTATGGATTGTTTTTTAAAACGGCTGTCTTATGTTTTTAAAACTTGGTTAATAAACTGGTAATAATAACATAATATAATATATCATTTGATTTAATAAAATAATATTTTCATAATAAATAAATTCATTAATAATATTAATTTTCTATGAAAAAGACAAATATAACAAAATAAATATTGTTATTAAGATGGTAATAAATTATAATAAACGTTATAAATATTAATAGAAATATAAATACTTTATATATTCATATTTTTTTAAATATTATTTTGCTCTTTCTTTCACCTTTTAAATATATCTATTTCTTTCCCTACTAATCACGTGTAATATTTGCCTTTCATATTTTGACTATTTTTAAAATATATAAATTATAATAATTATTTTATATTTTTTTCTCTGATAATAAAGAAAACAGTTCAGTTAGAAAATGAATTTCCTTTATATATATAGTTCTATAATTATGGATAATGAACTAGATAATAATAATAATAATAATAATAATAATAATAATAATAATAAAATACAATAAAATAATTATTCTTTAAAAATAAAAATATAAAATAAAAGAAAAAAAATTAATCTTTAAATTTCTTATACAAAAAATTTAATCAATTTTATACTACTTTAATTAAAATCTGATTTAAAAAAATAAGAAATCGATTTTAAGATGCAAAATGACAAAAACCATTGGTGTCTTCAACTGTATCAAAGCTAATTCTCATAGCATATATCACGCAAGTTTCAATGCAATTTTAACAATGGACCCATTAATTAAAGCACACATCAAATAATGCAATTCATTTAAAGATATCAGCACTCTTTAAAGATAGGGAGTTGCATTTATTTTGCAACTAGGCCTTCTTCACAGCAGTCACAGTGACCAGGACACAAGTCTTCTTCTCACCTAAGAGATCCAAACTCCTCTCTCCTCCACCATTTCACTGGGACCAATCTGAAAATATTTATTAGTCAATTTTTAGATTTCAGTTATTTTTCTTTTTATAAACTAAGTAAATATGCCATCATCACACTTATTTTAGTTGAGAGATCCTTATGCACATTTGTTACTAAAAGATTGAAACTTTTCAAGATATAAAGTTCCATGTGACAAGGGCACACACATGCTCTTTCAATTAAAACCTAATAATTTTGTGATATTTATCAAAGAAGAAAATAACAATCAAATATCTTCCTGGTAAAATAAATATTTTTTATTATAAATTTATAAAAATACAAATTAAGATTTTCTTGTTTACAGTAATAAAGAAGTTCCATTGTAGTTTTATGAGAGAAAAAACATTCAAAGAAATTAATTAGATTTTATATTATTTTCAATTTTTATTATTTTGAAAAGTTGAAACAGATGGAATATTAAAAAATATATATTTTTTACTTATATGAATATTTATTTGCCTTTACAAAAATCACATTTTTAAAAAGTATATATTATGAAAAAGTATTTAAAATAATTCTGATTTTAATACGGTTTTATATTTTTTTTCTGCTTATGATTGTTTTAAACAAGTAAACAAATGCATGGATAACTATTTTTTTTCCCGCATTTTTAAGAAAATAAGTGTTTTTCTATAAAAAAAAATTATAACAAAGGGTTTAGTATTGGCTAGATTTTAGTAACTAACCAAACATGACATAATTTGTTCATTTCAGACCACTTTTTGGTCTTACAGTATATATGCGATGAGTTTCTCCAAGAAATTTTAAGAGAAAAATATAAAATCAATTTTAAATTAGTTTATATACAAGTTAATTTATAAAAAAAAAACTTTTGAATAATTTTTTAAGTTTTTGTCGAATAATTTTTAAATTTTTTGTTAAATATTTTTTAAAAATAATTTATTTTTAATTTATATATAAATTAATTTTAATATTAATTTTAACTTATAAAAAAATTAATTTTATTTTTATGTACATCTTTACTCTCAAAGAAAACCTTATTTTGAAACTCATGTAAATAAATAAATAAATAAATTTTGTTTTACCAGAATAAGAACTTGAAATGCAATTAGAAGAATCGGATTCCTGGTGGTGGTGCTCTCCTACATACAACATGCGCTGGCATCTGAATAAAGTCAACCAAGAAATTATGATTTTAATTTATTTATTTATATTTTTTTCTTCCAGTATATGATTTTCATTTTTATATTTCAATATAAATTATAATAATATTATAAATATGTGATTATATAATCTCTTTATAACTATTAGTTTTATTAGGAATCTCATGTTTGTTTAATAATTAAAAAAAAATAACTTAAAAATTATTTATATAAATAATTTTCATAATTTGTAAACTTATCAAAACATATAATAAAATATTTTTTTTATTTGTAAAAGTCACCTTGCAGAAATCTATTTGAGTAATCCCAATTGAAATTTAAGAAATAATCAGACGATAAATGAGTGGAAAGTTGTAGTGTGGGTCAAGCTATGTATACAGGAGTTTGACACGGTGGCGGCAAGAGCTCCTCCCATCTCTGGATCTCCTCCTCACTCACAAGCTTTCTAATTCCTCCGTAGCATCCACTTGCTTCTTCATATTGTTCCCCGTTTCTTAATAGCTTTACTCGTCTCATGCTTGATCCGTGAGAATATTGCTTGAACTCCAACATTAATGTATCTGCATGCCACCATCAAATAAAATCCTTGAATTGTTCTCTTTTATTTCTAACAGTTGTTTTTCAGCATCTATGAATCAAGACATGATAAGGTGATGCAAAATTATTTCTCACCCGAGTAACGACATTGGCAGAAGTTCTGGTTTTCATTACATGATTCCATGTGACCAATAACAGCATACCACCAATCTGCATGCAACCCAATGATTAGGCACTTGGTGCTTTCTTAAAGTTCTGTAAGTTAGAGCCCCAAGTTTTAAATTTGACAACGAATCAAGAGGCAGTGATAAGAACCCTACCATAAGGGATTTCTCTTCTTGATTTCCGTTGGATCTCGATATGATCCCCAGGTTTTAAGTCTTGCAAACAATCAGAGACGTATCGAACACATGGAGGGGTATCAACTGGGGGAGCTCTAAGGATTTTCCATTGGATGTTGTTCCCCATCACATGCCAACCACCATTTTGTTGTCTGCAAAAACTTGTGCGTGCCTTATCATAAGCTATGTACATATCATACTTAAATTAATTAACATCATGAATAAACATGCCTAAATCATCTTATAATATCTTAAGAACAATTGACATAGTTCATGTTTTCATTTTTGTATTAAACATCTCCCTTCCCTTCTACTTTACCTTGCTTGAAAGTTATCAGTTTTGGAATCATATCTAACTAAGGCATCACGAACCAATGCTCCCTGTGAAAGAAAAACAGTAAAATATCATTACATAATGGCGAAAATTGATAAACATAAACTACATAAGCTAATTAGAAAGGGTTTACCCTGTAGACTTGAGCTGGAAACCAGAACTTGCCATTCTCTAGAGAGAAATACAAAGTCATCATAAAGCTATTTCCCAATGAGCTAATAAGATGTCTGCAATCTTCTAGATATGATCTGAGGTGTAACACAGGCCAAGTACCACTGAAAGATCCCAATGATCCATTCTGATAGTTCTGTTGATTCAATTGGTTGTTTCCTCTCTCCTTAGCTGTTGTGATATGCCATTGCCACTCCTTGTATGCAACATCACCAATGAATCCACCCCATTTCTGCTTTATGTGGACTTCCCACAAAGGTTCACTTCGACATCTATCCCTTAAACAAATACACACTTCAGACATAGTAACGAGTTCCATTGGTGAAAGGAGCTTTAGAACGCAATCCAATATGGGTTCTGGCAAGTTCAACAGAGAAATATTGCCACCGGGTTTAAGGTTGTCCATGCCACGAGAATATTAGGGTATTAGATACAGAAGTAGTAGGGGTTTGTATTTCAGTGCTTCCCTAAGAATTCTATATATGAATGAATAGAGAAGATAAAATCAATATTGACAAGGAATTGCAGACCTTTGCTTTTGCTTTCCTTTATTATTATTAATTTGTTGTCATTAAAGGGACATTTTCCTCGTTGCTTACGTGATTATCGATATATCAAATGTTTCCTGCTGAACAAGAACATGCCTTGCCGGCTATTCCAAGTGTGGCATGTCGTATTCAAAGCTAAGCGTTATTATTTGGATCAAATTGTAATTTGAGAGAGAAAATATTTCTTTACGTGATTATATATATATATATATATATATATATATATATATATATATATATATATATATATATATAATTATGATAGAATACAACTCACAAACTTTGAAAACTTTAAACGCAGTGATAACGACCGACTTTAAAGAATTACATTAACCTAACGTAATTAATTTAAAGAATTAACTATTTAACCACCAAAATAACTGAGATGTTTGTCCTTATTCAATTATAGAGTAAGCCTCTTAGGTAAATTAATAGTAATAATAGTGGTATATGGAGATCCACATAGTTCATGCATTTGATCGACACTTTTGATTTGTTTCTTTATTTTTATTTTGTTCGTATTATAATCGCTGTTATATATAATATATTTTTTTCTCTTCCAGCTCATTCTCTCTCAAATCTTAAAAATACTTTCATTAAAAAAAAAAACCATAAAAACATTATTTTGAAGAACCATTATTAAAAATAATTTTATTTAATATAACAGTTCTAATTTATATATAGAAAGAGAAAGATGGGATTGAAACAATTTTAGGCTCAAGCACAGTATAAACATATATAATTTTCAAGTCTAGAGTTTTTTGGGAGAAGGATAATGATATTTTCAAAAAGTAATATTATATATATGAACTTGAAGAAGCCCATAGTATAATTGTTTGAAAACAAATATGTAATGAATTTGTTTTTACGTGGTTATGATATGAACCAGTCCCCGTAGGGAAGCCGTTAGGGAACATCCTTTAAAACAACAAACCAAAAATAGGAGAGGATTTAACAAAATTAAGGATGTATATGATGAAGAACGTCCAACAACATATTTGGGTGGAGTTGGTTGATGATATTGATTGATAAGGCTTTGGCACCGTGCAGCGAAAGGTCCTTAATTTTCTTCAGGCAATATTTGCTTTGGCATATTCTCCTCCTAATCGATCGAACACTCGTCTATTGCAAGCCATGGATCAAGCAGAGCTTGCGCGAGTTTTTCAAATGTTTGATCGAAACGGGGATGGGCGAATCACACGGAAGGAGCTGAGTGACTCGTTGAAAAACCTGGGAATCACGATCTCGGAGCAAGACTTGACCCAAATGATCGAGAAAATCGACGTAAACGGAGACGGGTACGTGGACATAGACGAGTTCGGGGAGTTGTACCAAACGATAATGGACGAGAAAGATGAGGAGGGGGATATGAGGGAAGCATTCAACGTGTTCGACCAAAATGGAGATGGGTTCATCACGGGAGAAGAATTGAGCGCGGTGTTGTGCTCTTTAGGGCTAAAGCATGGCAAAACCATAGATTATTGCATGAGCATGATCAAGAAAGTGGACGTGGATGGCGATGGAATGGTTAACTTCCAAGAGTTTAAGCAAATGATGAAGGAGGGAGGTTTTGTCTCACCTTATTTAATTTGATGCATGCCTAGAGGGTGTGTCCGTGTAAGTATTAACTATTTTTCTCTTTTATATGGAACATGTTAGCACAAAACAAGAAATATGAGATCCCGTTGTAGAATAATGTGTATTATATCTCAATGGAATGGTGGGGGCAATAGTTTGGTTGATGAATATATTGGTTTATTCCTCTGCCTGTGCTGTTGTTGCTGCGTAAATGAAACTACATTTATCTGCGTCCACCCAAAAACATTTCACAGTTTTCACGTAACATAACAAAACAATCTTTTCATTGATTCGTATTCCAGAAATCTTGCTTCACTTCCATACCATAAAATCCAACTCATTATATAAAGTTGTTTCTGGTGGAATTTTGATCGATTTCGATCCTAAGGGTGTTTTGGTCCTAATCGAAATTCTACCATGTAAGTTCTTTTTTACTCAGGCTAGCAATTTGATTTTCAATCGAAAATGTGTATGAGAGTCGAAAACTATAAGTATCGAGAAATACTATTTTTGGTATTTTATGTCTAAAATGCTCGACTCAAACAAAGCAGTAAAGTATCGAATCGAGAAAAGAGAATATTAAATTGCAAGAAAGTGCGAAAACCCCAAATTTGCAAGAAATTAAGTTTGCAAGATAAATAAAGGACAGGAAATCGAAATGTGCGGAAATGTAAATTGCTAAAACCCATTAAGATTGCACAAAAAGTAAATAACAGGAAATCGAAATGTGCGGGAAATGTAAATTGCTAAAACCCATTAAGATTGCATAAACAAGTAAATAACAGAAATCGAAATGACATTGAATGTAATATACAAGAATATGAAATTGCTGAATTGAAATGGCTCGAAAGTAAATTACCAAGGAAAATACGTAAAGCGATAAATGTACTCGGTGAGCAAGGAAATCCAGATTGCCGTAAACTTCATGGTGTTCGTCGTTTCTCCGGTAGACTTTTCACTACTGATTCTGTTCTCTGCCAATTTCTGCTCTTCGTTCCTTCCTTCTTTGCTCTATTTATAGGGCATCTTTCAAGCCTTCCAAGAGCAGTTAACACGACTGTTACCACGTTCTACGTGCGTATGGCAGTTTTTCTTCTATTGTTTCCCCACGTTCTCATGATCTTCGGCTCTTCCATAACTTAGAAACTGCTTTCCATGCGTGCGTTTTGACTACTTTCCTTCAAGGTTTAGCCGGAGTTTCGATATCTATGTAAACGAGCCTTCCCTTCGCTTTTGATCTAATCGAGAACTTTGTGTACTTGCCATCGATTCCTTTTAACCTTAACTTCATATACTTCAAATTTCTTGGTTGGTTCCATGTTAAACTTTCGATTATTACTCCTACCTTTCCGACTCTACCTTTCGATTGTACTTGCTACGTTCTTTATAATTGATCATCGAAAAGATCTTCATACATTTCGTTCCTCGAATTTCTTTCGTTCGTTTATTGATCATATTTCTGGATTTCATACTAACAAAATGCCCCCTTGAAGGAATATAAATGATTTCAGTTTATATTCTTTCAATATTCCCGCCTTAATGTTTGAAAGCCCACAGAACTTAGGGTTTAGGTTTTCTGGGGTTCTAGGGTTAAAAGGGTTTTAGGTTTCCCTTTCCGTTTTACGTCGCTATCATATCAGTCTGTTGCTTTTACAGTACGTTACATTCATTACTTTTCGTATCTGTCGTTCCAGCTCCCTAGGCGATTTTCTCTTTTAACCTTTCTCTTGGTCTTTGTTCTGGTTTTTACGCGAACTTTTACCCTAAGTCTGTACTTTCATCGTCTTCCTTGAGCTCTTGCTTTCATCTCTGTACCTTCATCTTTTTCGTTGCTTTTCTTCATCCTACTCACTACTGAAATGGCCACTTCCTCCAAGTCTTCTGACTTCTCCGTTCCACCTCTTTCCTCGTTGCCTTCCAACCTGCTGGAAATTAACAACCAGAAGTTCGCTCCAGTCCCTTTGATGGAGGAGGCTTCCCGAAAAATTGCTGAAACGCAGGTACTAATCCCTTACACTGTTGAGGGGGTTAATTTTGCTTTTGGGGGTCCACTTCGTCCTATAGATGACATTTTCTCCCCTCTCAACCTCTCGATCAGCCCGGCTCTTATACATCACCCTGAAGTTAGGGTTGATTTTTTGAATCTTACCTCTAAAGTATATAGAACAGGCCCTCCTTCTAAAAAATCCTCTTTCATTAGGTGGTTTGATAGGGTAAAAACTAAGTTTGGGAGCCATTGGAAGGATGTTGGAATTTTCGATTTTTTGCATCTGTCTCGATGCGACCTGTCGTTTTTGGATATGGCAATGTTTTTATCTGCGGTGCACTTGTGGAATAAGGATTTACATGCTTTGGAGTTACCTTGTGGCCCACTTTCACCTACCCTTTTTGAGGTCGCGGCTATTACTGGCTTAAAACCTACGGGGGAAAAATACTTCAAGGGTACATGTCCTTCGGATAATTCTCTGAAGTCTAAAATTGATTGGGAATCGAAGGCCTATGGTCATTTTCTCGAGAAGCATTTTATCGATGACCCTTCGATAGCTGTTACCGATGAAGAGCACGTGGCATTCTTAGTGTATTGGCCGTGTACCCACGTTTTCCGCCCCGATCGATCCAAATTTCCCCCATCTTTTTGACCTTGCATATGTCCCGCACATAGGTCGACCTAGGATATGTTTGGCCAAGTTACTACTAGCTCATGTGTATGCTACTTTCGACGAGGCTGTCGAAATTTTGAACACACCTAAAGCATCGGGAAACTTTTCAGGCCCTGTTTGGTTTGTACAGTTGTGGCTCACCTCGATTTTTGATAGTGTCCTTCCTCGAATTTCTTCCGTCCCCCTGAGTGTAAATATAGAAGGGGCCCGATTATCCTCTCGCCACCCTCGCCATAAATCTGATGAGGCTACCTACTGTAAATACCTGCAATTTTTGTTAACCAGATTTACTTTCGACTCAACCCTGGCCCCATTTACTGTAAATCTTGGACAAACAAGTAGTCAACTTAGGGGCCGATTTGGTTTAAATCGAAGTTTCCTGTCTCGACTCTCGGGTTACAATCGGAGCTCGATAGATGTATGGAGTAATTATTTAACCCACGATGTTCGGTATCGGGTTTTCAGTCGAAAGATTTTAAACTTATCACCTATTACCCCCAGCTTTTCTCGAGACAGTTTGGGTTGAGCCAATCTTTGCCTTTCTTCTCTCTTGATATTTCCCCAAAGTCCAAGTTAACTGAATCCACCATTAGTCGGGAGCTTGTTGAGCTTTTACCAAAAACCCCGATGCATTTTTACCCCTATACTTTCGAGTCGAATTATTTATCAACTGTGGGTTTTTCTCAATGGTGGAACGGTTGGTTCTCGGGTAGTCATGCTACTTTTGATGAAGTTCGACAAAAACTGACTGCTCAACCTTCTCTTGTGTTGCAGGACAAATCGAAATCGAAGAAAGGTACACACTTCCACTGTCTTCAAATATCTCGATTCGAGAACTTTTATCAAATATGTTACACCCCACTGAAATTAAAATCGACCTATTATGATGTTGTTATCTCCTTATCCAATAAAACGGACATTAATCGATCGAATCACAAAATAATCAATCCTTTAGGTAGAACCCCTTTTGAAATATATTGTCCAAATCGCCTTCCTACTTTTCCTACAGCTCCTTTTGGACTTGCCAAACCATTAACTCATCCAAAATGGGTTCGAGAATTGAGAACCCTCAGGGAAACACGTCACCCAAAACCCAAAAACAAAGATATTTCTGTCTCGAAATTATCTTATTTCTCTTACCTTAACCTCCCTGAGGCTCTTCTGCCTCCCTGGCTTGTACATATCGACCGAGTCAAGATCTTGACTCCATCACCTTTTGGTGAGATTTTACTGCTGTCTTATACTTTTCGATTCTGTATATTATAAGCTAATCTGTCTTCTTTCATTGGCAGTTTCGAAATCTACTAAGGTCACCACTATCGAGAAGGGTCAAGAAAAGGGACAAGAGGATTGGGGATCCTCGGGTGAGTCGGACCCATCAGCCTTGATCAGAAAACGCAGACGCTCGGCCACCCTTCCTACTTCTTCGAAAAAATCGAAGGTTCTTTTTGACTTCTGTTTTGTCCTATTCATTTCTCTGTTTGATCAATCCTTGTTCTTACACTTATCTTTTCTCGATCTTCTATTTCCAGAAGCAAAAATCGAAGAGTCCTCGATCTGTTCGACCAATTGCTCTCGATCCGTTATCGACGGACTCTAATACCATCCCCACGACAACACCTGCCACCCGTTCAAGTCACGTAAGTTTCCTTCTTTATACCAATTCTATGTTCTTAAGTCTCAATAAAATTTGTAACAAGGTTTCAAAACTAAATTTTCAGGATATTCCATCGGAGACTGTATCGACGAATGTCGAATCTCAACTATTAACACCCCTCACTGAGGTATCTTATATTGTATGATTGCTTTTACTTTTTGTGCATTTCCTGTTCTAACAATGGTTTTCGATTTACAGCAACCTGAGGCTGTACAGATTCTTCCTCCTGCTTCGGCACCACTTGCACTACCTCCCCCTGGTACTTATACTTTTCATTGTCACTTTTTTCTCTCATTCTATTATGAACCTCTCGATCTTACATTCTCGATTTCTTTCTTTCCAGTAAATACTCCAATAATCGAAGTCCAAGGCTCTCCTTCCCCTGTTTCTGCAGAGCAAGAGGATTCTCCTCCTTTTGCGATGCCCTCTATCGAGTTGCTCTCGGCGTCATTACCAGAGATAGATGTGCCTGCTCCGAGCACTGCGTTAGAATATCGAGCTGCAATCGAAGAAGACCCTTTTTCTATCCTCGATATTCTATTATCTACGTAAGCGACACCGTCGAGCTCTTCTAAGACGCCCATGACTTCAACTCGAAGGACCATACCAGCTCGAAGCAACGCTTCCGATCTTTCTTTTATTCCTCGCCCTTGAAGTTTTAGTGGACTCACGCGACAAGAAAAAACAGTTCCAGGATA